CTCAGAGTTCTATTGATAAACTTAAATCATCTCATAGACATATCATACGCAATTGTATTGATACTGAATTGTGGAATAAAATTGAAGTGTTTGTTAAAATTTCAAAGTACTACTTTGTTTGCCAATCAGCACGCGACAATACGCTGTTCAAACTATTGAACGAAATTGTGTGGACTGTCGATAAGGCGGGCATTTTTATTTTCAAATATAAATTATAAGTTAAAAAAGAACATAAGAGGCAGAGAAAACGTAACTATAAGTATTGAACTGTTTTTGTATAGTATTTATGATCTGTTTGAATGACACAGCTTTGCAAGCAAACAAATCATGATGCGCTAGGGCGCATTATGTTGTTTGCTTCCAAAGCTGTGTCATTCAAAAAGATCATAAATACCATACACAAACAGTTCAATGCTTAAATAGTCTATTCTTGCCAAGTATTAATTCTCGCCGAGGCAACGTACATCTTTGACAAACTAGGTCGCGTGTAGTAACCGTTTGGAGCGACATTATGGAATTATTTTTTATGAAAAAAAAAAGAGATGAAATAAATGAAATTTGTATTAGGGATTAGGCACCAGTTAACGTTTTTTATTCTATCTTTTTTAATTCGTTATAAGACACGGGCGTCTCATGTTTGATGCCGTGTATCTAACTGAGTCTTAATTTGGTGAAAAGAAAAAAAATGATGCACCTTTTAGTACCAGATGTATACAATGAGTAATAAATTCGTGATGATATTTGCATATAAAATATCAGTTCAAAATCAAAACGATTTTTGCACGTTATTTATGTTATTTGCCATGAAGACTGTTGTTGACACATTAAGGGGATATTTCTAGATCCCGGTACCTCATATCGGTTATAATGAACACCGGTTATATTGAATCAAAATGTTCTGTCCCGATGATATAAATAAAACCGGTTTCGACAGTACATTAACGAACATCGTTATATTAATTACAGGGACATGTTACGTGCTATAAACGGAATATATATATATATAAGGAGGCACGTTAGTCTAGTGGTAGGGCGCCGGGCTCTTGACCTAAGGGTTGCGGGTTCGAGTCACGGCACGGCACTTTGTTGTATCTTTGAGCAAGATACTTTACTCCGCTTGAGCTTGAAATGAGTACGTGGTTGGACAGTGCTAGAATTGTTAAATCCTTCGTATCTATTTCTTCCTTCGTCCTCAAATATGGTCATTTTAAATCTGCGTTCCATTTCCTGTACATTATTGTTGAATTCCAAACCTTGTCATCCAATTAAAAAATGTCCTTTGTTTTACAACCAAGTGTTTACTACAACAATTTAGCCTCTGTTTTACTGATTTTATATATTGAATTTCAACTTGTGATCAAAACAAGGAAAATCAGAAAAAAACTTGTGAATCAAAGAATTTGCTTAGAAGTGCATTTATTGATCGTCCCTTCCGTTAAACACTGGCGAGCAAAAAAACAACAACTTCGAGACGAGTTTCATAAAAGCTTATATGAAATGGTTAGCAGGCCGATTATGCGATAAATGCATGTATATCAAACTAAATTGATCGCAATGTGTAAAAGATGCAAAAATACATATACATCCATAGCAAATGAGTTGGTTGTAAAATACTTCATGTTTTATTGTAAAGATCAATTTAGTGTACACAATCATATATAAACGGCACAACTGTGTCAAACTACCTTTCAAAAACCTTTGATTAGTGTTGGAAGCTGTGAGCACTTGAAATACTGACCATTTTTTCCAAAGGATCAAGGAGTTTATGTTCCAAAAACTGCTACATGCAGCAATATTAGATTAAACGTATACTATTCCGTCTTTGCGTATTGCAGAGTTATCTTCTCTTTAGAACAGGTATTGATTGTGACGTCATTTGTTTGTGAGAGTAACGTCATCAATTTTTGAGAAAACGACGTAATTTTCTCGCCCAAACCAATGACGTAACAATCAATACCTGCTCTCAAGAGAAGATAACTCTGCAATACGCAAAGACGGAATAGATTCTGATACTAAGAACTTCTGAATGTGAATGAGTAATCGTTTTCGAATTGACGTTTAATGAGTATTATAATGTTATAAGTAATACTAAGATATAAAGTGAACTTACCTCCCCCATCACTAGACGATGCTGCCATATACGTGATGGTGAAACCATTCTGATTGGTATCCGCAACATTATCAGATACAAAAGTAATTTTGCCGGTCCCGGAAAGGGCCACCAAGGTTAGGCTCTGGCCAGACGTCCCCGTGATACTCGATGCGAACAGGGATGTGGATGGACCTGTTAAATGTTAACAATATGACCGTATATAATTACACAATACACAGACATTTCGTCTTTATTACCAAGTTCGTAGTAGAATGGGTGTCTAACATGACAACGATAAATATAACATAGGAATGTTGATTAATGCTTCGCGGTGCGTTCTAAATTTTGTGTGACTGTGAAATCGACTGGCGCCAAAAGTGCGAGTTCCTTGTCCATATTCATAGTGTCTATAGTACCATACTCTTCTTACAGCAAAAAAGCAAATCCGTAATTTTTCATGGGAATCCTTGCATTTGCTGCATCTCACAATAATTTCTCAATTCCCGACCTGCATAAATGAAAATTTTATTAAGAAAAGACACAAAGACTTTCATCTTTCCAACGATACCAATCATTTCTTTTACACATACCAGAAATGTGATTTTTACTATAAGAAAACTAGGTGGGTTGATTTTTCGACATCGAACCTTTCCACCTTTTTACATTGTACCATTATTGGGTTGATATTTTCAAAGAGTGTTGATGTAAACCTTGAACTCATTCACCACCGGATACACATTTGAACTCTTCCAATTCAAAGGTTTGGATAGTTCATAGTGAAAGGATTTTGCCAATTTGGGCCTTCTGGTGCCTACATTGTATCAGCGATTAGTTTCATTTTATGTATACATAACATACATTGGGGTGAAAATATATTTCATAAAACTCACAACCATTTATCATTAGATGTCATGCTAAATGGTTGTGATAGATGTGATGAAAATGAAACCAACATATTCTCCTATCCATATCCAATTACATTTTAAGTTCTAGAAGATTCAGGACATTTAACTTCAATTTTGAATGAAATTTTACATTTTATTTATTTACACTTTATTTATTTATATCTATTTTTTTCTCAATGTAATTCTTCTGATTTCCAAATGGTACATGATTATTAATATTTATATTTCCTATTTGTCTTCATTGTTTATCTTTAAATATTGTTGCTGGGGTTCAGAAGACCAGTTATACTATTTTATTAAAAAATATTGGGAAACAACTACATAAATAAGAATATAAAGCTTTACAACATGTTAATTATATATCTAACCTGTGTTTAATATGCATAAATTAATCTATTTGGTGGGATTGAATTTCCAAACACATCAGTGGATGGCCTTGTGTGATATAATGGACTTTTTGGCCTGCGGTAATTTAATCCCATCAAAGGTTTATACATGCAGCTCCATCAACAAATTACTTTTCTTTTGTCTTCATAATATGTATATATATATATATATATTAATTTATTTATTTATTTACATTATATTTTTTCTCAATAAATTCTTTTGATTTCCAGATGGTACATGAATATTATTATTAATATTTCCTATTTGTCTTCATTGTTTATTTTTAAATATTGTTAGTGAGGGGGGCTGGGGTTCAGAAGACCAGTTATACTATTTTATTTAAAAATCTGAAGAATCTTCTAGAAGAGATGAAAGAACTAAAGACTCGTTGTTGAGAATTTTTCTATTTATAATATATATATATATATATATTATGTCTTTTCGGTATCAAAATAAAAGGTTAGAATTTAAACCATTAGATTCAATTATAATAAAAATGAGTATTAGGAGTTGTTTCCCCTAATTTGATTTATTAATTTGATAATACCAACTTGTTTAATATGTGTTTGTATGTGTTCTAATTTCTATGTTTATGCTTGTACCACTGTCTGTTACTATGTTTGGAAAGGACTTAAATAGGCTATGCCTGCTGCCCAATCCATTTGTCCTTTGACAATAAAATTTATTGAAATTGAAGTTCATCTTGAAGACCATTCCGAGATATTAGGGGGTAAAATGGGGGACCAAAATCACAATTTTTTCCTTTTTTGACAAAACAATATGTTAAGTTTTAAAAATTTCTTCATAATTTTGACATATTTTGTAACACTAAAGCTGCAAATAATGAAATTACCGAAAACGTAGCACATTGTTGAAAAGTAGATCACTGTGACCTTGTTATATATCGGCCTAATAAAGTTAACAATTCTTCAAATTGGGACCTAAGCTAATGTGTTCAGAGTAATTTTACACGTGTTAGGGGGTTTAGATCAACTTTATGTAAAAATACCAACCCCAACGATGATTTTGTACGAGTAGGGAGCAAAGCTCTCGGAGTCGAAAAATCGAGCCCACCTAACGTCCTTGCATCAAAAACAACATTTCTAGTTGATGTACGAAAAATGTTTATTACCACTGATAAAAGGAATAATTTTCCGTTTAAAAAACTCTATATGCACGTAAAATGTATTCTCCTTCCGCGGCCATGATCTCCGTTTCCTCCAAAAACGCACACCATTTCTGAGTTTCAAATTTATTTGCAGTCATAGAGACCCTTTTTAACTCGTCTATTCGAAAAATAGGGGGGGGGGGGGGGGGTAATATCAGTACCCACTGCGTCAGCGTCGCCATCGGTTTTTGGGCAAGATGTGTTTTGGTGTTTAACTCAATTTTTAATTAATTTTACATTGTAATATGATAACAGCAATTGCTTGAAGGTTCCTTAGCAACAAATTGGACCATATTTGCTCATTTTTGGTTCGAAACACAAGTCTTTTGAAATTGGTTAAAGTTTTTGGGCAAGTTCTACAGGTTAAAGTTTTAGGGCAAGTTCTAGTGTTTTTGAAAGTACTGGGCAGATTTCAACCAAACTTGGCATGAAGCATCTACAAATGAATTCCCTGACCCCCCAGGGGACAGGTGGGCGGAGCAAAAAGGGGTAAATTTGACAGTATGCCTTTAAACGATATCTCCTCCTAAGCTATTTGGCAGATTTCAACCAAATTTTAAGGGGGCTTGAGGGATAAGGGGTAAAATATCTTTTTCTACAATGTTTGAAGAAGAACTTGAAAATTTTACACATGGTAGATATATGAATGCAGGAGTGCACAACACTTTCGGATTTTCGCTTTGACCCCCAGGGGCTTGGCCAAAGGGGTTGGGTTCAAATATTACAAAAAAGAAAAATTGAGTCTTATAGCATATCAAATTAAACACTATCATGAGCTCTTCAGTGTAAAGACATTTATTTTAACATATGGTGTAAGGGGGTGTACTTGAGGGTTAAGAGGTAAAATAACGTTTTCTTCACTGTTTGAAGTAGGAACATGGTAGATATATGTATGGGGAAGTGCACCAAACATTTAGAATTTTGATGGGGGTGTTAGGGGTCACTTTGGGGGGATAGCGGGAGTGTGCCATCGACAATGTAGATCTAGTTTCCTGATCTTTTATCTAAGACTAAGATGACACATCCTTTAATGGACCAATTACTATTAGCATTTTTACTTAAATATTTTAATAGACGGGCTATGTTGTTTTCCTACAGCTCTTGTTGTATATTTATGGGGTTGACGTCAGCTACGTGCCGAAACCCCTGGTATGATTGGCTGGAAGCGCAGCCATCCAACACTATATGTTTCGACACCTGGCTGACGTCAACCTCATGAATATACAAAAAGTGGCTCTATGACTGCGAAACACTAAGAAAATGTCCTGCCACGCGATGTCCCAGGTAGGGGGTAAGAATTGTGCCTGCTGCCTCCATTGCATGATCGTAAGAGGCGACTAAATTTGGGATCTTATCTTTTCTCTTCTTTCTAAACAACTTTTATCTTCCTAATGTCTCCCTTGACAATGCCTCTCTTTTGGCATTTAGTTGAGCGTTCGCCCCTTTGAGGAAGGCTTAGGGTTCTGTCCCCTGGCCGAGACATACCAGAGTCTGTAAAAATGGTTGTTTCTACTCCTGCTTAACGCTCAGCAATTTGGAAGTAGGACGACTGGTTGTTCGCCTGTTGTCAGTATAATGTGACCGGGTGGGTTGTCCTATTGGGTGTCTTCGACAGTATGTTTCAGTGAGGTAGCACTATAAAGTTGGTATCAGTTCCGCGCTACCACAAGGAGACAAACACGAACATATCGCAGCCTCCAAAATCACACACGCATACACTACACGCATGCATCTTGCACACCATGGAGGCCGTCCTTAAATGTCGATAGCTGTTGATAGGACATTAAACAATACTAAACAAAACCAAACCAAACCAAACTGCCACGCGAGTGAAACATGTTTGGCGATAAACAAGAAAAACATTTAATTTTCTTTTTATTACATTTCAAAACTACTTGAAACTATAAAAATGTTATAGTATATCACATCAGTTTGGGATATAACAGCTTTGGCACCATATTCTAATGACATCACGCTTACAGACAAGGGTGTGCGTCATTTTGAATGGGCTGCACCACACAATGCCACTGTTTTCTGTTATTATGTAGCAAGATTTGATTTCATAAATGGTATTAATTGTGTAGGTAATATTTTTGTTGGTGTATGTAGAAAAGATGTTCAAAAATCTGAGCAGATATTCTGCGGCTTTGAATGAAGTGGAAAGAAAGTGCCATTTTGATTGGTCAATATAAAAAGTGACACTTTCACACTGTGACTGACATGAATCAGTAGTGCTTCTTTTGTAATAAAGATGTATCTTCATTTCTTCCTCTATGTGTGATAATAAAAGAAGTAAACTGAAAATTTAAATTTACGTACCATCGAATACGGAAAGTATGTCGTTATTTCTTGTTTGACTTATTTGAATAAACATCAGAATGTCCTCAGTGGCCGGTCTGGATGAAATCAGATTCCAGGTACAGTCAAGGTTTCTGTTCAAAATAATAATAACGGTATTTAAACGTAGAATATCATTAAAACAGTGAAGTTAAAGATTGAAGGATATAAATAAATATTATATCTTAACTTTTACAAAATAATAAATTGATTATTAATTAATTCTATTGAAGCAGAACCTGGACTAGAATCGACAGCATTATTGTGTTTTTTTCATATTTCATGGAAAGTCGTTGAGCAATGGTGCTTTCAAATTTTTGCTAGAAAAAAAGAACGTCTACATTGAAATTGAAAAAAAAAGAAAGATTAAAAACGTTTTTTGAAATTGAACATAAACAAATAAAACAAAACATAAGAAATACTAGTTTTTCAAATATTTGTTTCCGCACTATACTGATAGATTAAAGAGCGGAAGGTTAAAGAGTTATGTTGCCAGTCATGAGAGGAGATCAAAGTTTCACCAGACGTGTTCTATGCAGTCTTAAACAACATGTTTACATATGATTTGATATGTAATAAAATTAATATCGTCTACGTTCAGTATTCCTCATTCCTAATTTCTGTAACAAAATATTACCACTAAATCACAGCTTTATTGTATCGACATAGTGTGGCAGATCTGTGTCAACACTCAGGGAAAACGGAAACTGCTTTTTTATTGATTAATCATCTTATCTAGTCAATATAAGCAGTATGAGACTCTATCTTTATCTAAACACAGACTACTTAAGACATTTTGGCTGCATATTAACAATCAACTACTTTCACTCTAAATTATCCAATAGTGTTCAGTATTCAACGGCAGTGTTTGGTTTTTGAAGCCTGTGATCTCCTGATCTCTGATCCGCTGGTAGAGTGGAATGGAGTCGATGGGTACTTACTCTGCATAGGAGCCACTGCCAGGGTACGTCAAGGTTCCTATTTCATAAGTCGTTGAAATTGGGATGTCCCGGGCCGACCCCGAACACTGTGCAAAAACTAAATGAAACGTTAAAAAAAATGTAAACATTTATCTAAAAAAACCTGGTTGACTAAAAGGGCAATATACTCATACTCATATATGAACACATGAATTATGATTCGAAACAATGATAAACTTTAAATGACTTCATTTCCAACGGTTAAAAAGTGTGGCTATGCATGTACAACAGGGAGAAACTTATCGCCAAATATTACAACACAACGTATAGCTTTCTTTAACATTTATTACCCTGGTATTAGTGTTTTAACACCCTGGTATTAGTGTTTTAACACCCTGGTATTAGTGTTATAACACCCTGGTATTAGTGTTTGAACAACCTGGTATTAGTGTTTGAACACCCTGGTATTAGTGTTTTAACACCCTGGTATAAGTGTTTGAACACCGTGGTATTAGTGTTTTAACACCCTAGTAATAGTGTTTTAACACCCTGGTATTAGTGTTTTAACTCCCTGGTATTAGTGTTTTAACACCCTGGTATTTGTGTTATAACGCCCTGGTATTAGTGTTATAACACCCTGGTATTAGTGTTTTAACACCCTGCTATTAGTGTTTTAACACCTTGGTATTAGTGTTCCAACACCCTGTTATTAGTGTTTTAACACCCTGGTATTAGTGTTTTGACAACCTGGTATTAGTGTTTTAACACCCTGATAATAGTGTTTTAACACCCTGGTATTAGTGTTTTAACAACCTGGTATTAGTGTTTGAACACCCTGGTATTAGTGTTTTAACACCATGGTATTAGTGTTTCAACACTGTGGTATTAGTGTTTCAACACCTTGGTATTAGTGTTTCAACACCTTGGTATTAGTGTTCCAACACCCTGGTATTAGTGTTTTGACACCCTGGTATTAGTGTTTTGATAACCTGGTATTAGTGTTTTAACACCCTGGTAATAGTGTTTTAACACCCTGGTATTTTTTTTTTAACACCCTTGTATTATTGTTTTAACACCCTGGTATAAGTGTTTGAACACCGTGGTATTAGTGTTTTAACACCCTAGTAATAGTGTTTTAACACCCTGGTATTAGTGTTTTGATAACCTGGTATTAGTGTTTTAACACCCTGGTATTAGGGTTATAACACCCTGGTATTAGTGTTATAACACCCGGGTATTAGTGTTTGAACAACCTGGTATTAGTGTTTGAACACACTGGTATTAGTGTTTTAACACCATGGTATTAGTGTTTCAACCCCCTGGTATTAGTGTTTCAACACCTTGGTATTAGTGTTTCAACACCCTGGTATTAGTGTTCCAACACCCTGGTATTAGTGTTTCAACACCCTGGTATTCGTGTTTCAACACCTTGGTATTAGTGTTCCAACGCCCTGGTATTAGTGTTTTAACACCATGGTATTAGTGTTTCAACCCCCTGGTATTAGTGTTTCAACACCTTGGTATTAGTGTTCCAACGCCCTGGTATTAGTGTTTTAACACCATGGTATTAGTGTTTCAACACCCTGTTATTAGTGTTTCAACACCTTGGTATTAGTGTTCCAACGCCCTGGTATTAGTGTTTTAACACCATGGTATTAGTGTTTCAACACCCTGTTATTAGTGTTTCAACACCTTGGTATTAGTGTTCCAACGCCCTGGTATTAGTGTTTTAACACCATGGTATTAGTGTTTCAACCCCCTGGTATTAGTGTTTCAACACCTTGGTATTAGTGTTTCAACACCTTGGTATTAGTGTTCCAACACCCTGGTATTAGTGTTTTAACCCCATGGTATTAGTGTTTCAACACCCTGGTATTAGTGTTCCAACACCCTGATATTAGTGTTTTAACGCCCTGGTAATAGTGTTTTAACACCCTGGTATTGTTTTCTTTTAACAACCTGATATTAGTGTTTTAACACCCTGGTATTAGTGTTATAACACCCTGGGATTAGTGTTATAACACCCTGGTATTAGTGTTATAACACCCTCGTATTAGTGTTATAACACCCTGGTATTAGTGTTATAACACCCTGGGATTAGTGTTATAACACCCTGGTATTAGTGTTATAACGCCCTGGTATTAGTGTTATAACACCCTGGTATTAGCGTTATAACACCCTGGTATTAGTGTTTGAACAACCTGGTATTAGTGTTTAAACACCCTGGTATTAGTGTTTTAACACTCTGGTATTAGTGTTTCAACACCTTGGTATTAGTGTTTCAACACCCTGGTATTAGTGTTTCAACACCTTTGTATTAGTGTTTCAACACCCTGGTATTAGTGTTCCAACACCCTGGTATTAGTGTTTTGACACCCTGGTATTAGTGTTTTGATAACCTGGTATTAGTGTTATAACACCCTGGTATTATTGTTTGAACAACCTGGTATTAGTGTTTGAACACCCTGGTATTAGTGTTTGAACACCCTGGTATTAGTGTTTGAACACCCTGGTATTAGTGTTTGAACACCCTGGTATTAGTGTTTTAACACCTTGGTATTAGTGTTCCAACACCCTGTTATTAGTGTTTTAACACCCTGGTATTAGTGTTTCAACCCCCTGGTATTAGTGTTTCAACACCTTGGTATTAGTGTTCCAACGCCCTGGTATTAGTGTTTTAACACCATGGTATTAGTGTTTCAACACTGTGGTATTAGTGTTTCAACACCTTGGTATTAGTGTTTCAACACCTTGGTATTAGTGTTTCAACACCCTGGTATTAGTGTTCCAACACCCTGGTATTAGTGTTTCAACACCCTGGTAATAGTGTTTTAACACCCTGGTATTGTTTTCTTTTAACAACCTGATATTAGTGTTTTAACACCCTGGTATTAGTGTTATAACACCCTCGTATTAGTGTTATAACACCCTGGTATTAGTGTTATAACGCCCTGGTATTAGTGTTATAACACCCTGGTATTAGCGTTATAACACCCTGGTATTAGTGTTTGAACACCCTGGTATTAGTGTTTTAACACCCTGGTATTAGTGTTTTAACACCCGTTACATAACCTCGGTAATGGGCCCACGTATAGTAGGTTCCCATTGTTTTCATAGTGACCTAAAAATAATACAACGAGTTTTGTTCATAAACATCTCGCCAGAAACTCGTTCAATTTAACAAATTTTAGATTTGTTTCATAAATCTTATATAGAATAGTAAGTCATGTCAGATAATATCCTCGAACTTCCAGGGGTTACATTTTCTTTCGATCATTGCTAATGGGGAGTGAAGGCATGTGTGCAGGTATGAGAAAAGCAGATATATCTGGGGCGACTGTATCAACGGTATTTGCATAGAGAAGCAAACAATTGATTTGTGTATTTGCAAGATATTTTTAAATAGTGCAAAGATCTAATAATAAAAAACAAAATTGCAAAACATGTTTCGGCTTTTTAAGGTGATAATACAGAGGGACAAAATCATGTGATGTTAATGCAAACGCACCCTGATATCATAACTCCAGGGAATAGAGAAAACAAGCACCATGCTTCTCTTTTTGAGTCAGCAGGAGTTTTAAATGTGTCTGAGGATTTAAGATTGTAAAGTTAATGGAAAAATCACGTGTATATATGCGAGGAACATATAACAATATATCATCGAAACGAGCTGAAACCAAAACACACTGACATATCAAATGTCTAATTAAATAATAACTGGTAAAATTAGAAAGATTAAGTTGTAGAATTGATTTTTTTGTTGTTTAGTGTTTCCCAGTGTAAGGTTTTTCATTATATATTACAGTGTCGATGTGGAGTAGAGTAATGGAATATGATCACTATATATCCAAGTCAAAACTCGGAATCATAGTTTCAATCTAGCTTTGATGTAGTTACAGCAGTAAAAGTCAACAACTGAACATGAACGACACTAGCCAATTAAGAATTAACCTTAATCATTTAATAAGAGAGATTTTAAAAGAAAAGTACCTTTGCAGCTGCATGTCAAGAGGATGACACAAGGTATTAACCATTCCCGAGAATCCATGTTGACTGTTGGTGCTGGGAAGTCTTCAGTGATATCCACCCGGAGTTACTGAAACAATAAAAATAATTCAATATTGATAAATATATATATTGAGTGTATGACATATACTCACATAATGGATATACATCAACAAAAAGGTGGATTATATAGAATGCAGACATTACAGTAAAACATTAAAAATCAACCATACACACAAACTTGTCTTGTATCTTGTATCTAATTAAGGTCGGAACATCTCATGATCGTTCAAACGAAAAGTAATATGACTCCAATGTGTACAAAGGACGTCTTTCGTTATAATGCACTGTTTTGCTGTACAATAGAGCACACTTTACCTGTTTGCAGTTAGCACACAGGTAAATAATGTTTCTGTCATTCAGAGATAACTTAAAGGTATTGGTTTATTGTGGGATCAGGTGACACACAAAACTCCTTCTATGTGAGTTTGGTACATATATTGATAACGTGTATCCCTACCGACTATAGTGCAAGGGTAAATTACTTGTGTGATCATGGATTAAACTAGCTGAACGGTTATTTTATCATTCTAAAAGTCTACTTTACCAAAGAACATTAAACATATATTGATACATCATTAAATATATCGGTACAACCTTTAGTATTTCGGTAAGTGTTTAACATAGCAATACAACGTCAAACATATCCTTACATCTTTTCTTTTTTTTCAAATAGAAAAAAATTCGCTTATCGTTTGTGTCGGTATGTGTATTACGTGTCATTGTTCATCATACATCATATAACATTAAGGAAAACTACATCGTGTAGAGTCAAATCACGGCTACACCTATTTTCTGGTATGCGCGTGTCAATGATAGTCTTACACAGTTGTTGGAGTGCATTTAAATAGAGTTAAACGTTTGACGACATCGCTGGTCTACTCAGGATGTTATCGATTATCGCGGCTGTTTGGCCAATATGTATTGGGGTATACGGGGACAAGTATACTGTTTGTTCAAAGTTCAGAGTTAATCGTATGTGTAGTTACCTCGAGCGTAACAGAGAGGGGTTTATGCCTCCAAAACAGAAGCACAAGGAGCATTGAACGGATCGTCTTACTACACACTTAACTGTGTACCATTTTGAGATATTCATTGCGTAAAATAAATGAGCTATAAACTAAATTATATTAGAATTCAAATTGAAAGTTAGGAAGGTTATGGTCAAAATTATTCCGTCAAGGGTGATGTAAAATATATATAAAATATACATTATTATATAGAATAAAAACAAAAATTTCCAGATCGTCCGCTAGACCTTTCTGCCTTCTAGGGCTTCTTCAGGCATTATTATATATATATTGTGTTATCACACATCTCTCAACAGTTTTTAACAAAACGAGGTTTAAAAGGAAAACGTTTGATTTAAAAAAAGTATAAACTGTATACACGGATACAATTTAAGGTATTACTACATTAGTATATAACGTGTACATGCTTAGTGCTTTGTTACACGAAGCCTATTATATTAATAGTTGGTAGGAGAGACATTGTTTCATCACCTCAATATGTTATTTGCTTTCAATCTTTTATCCATGTAAACAAAACTCAACATTACTATCGTTACAGTAAAGTTTGTGAGTAGACCAATAAACGACATGCTATATTTCTATCGTACCTTCAAGTTTTGCTTTGTTCTAGACATTCTTACAACAACTGATGTCACGTGATAAACAATCTCAAGTCGAAAGACGGAGAAATGAAGAACTTACCTACGTTTTTGTTTGTAGATGGCAAACAAAGCAGACGGAAGCCAATATGGTTTGATTTGGTTAATACGATGACGCATAAAGACTACAAAGACTATAATACGATGACGCATAAAGACCAAAAAGACTATAATACGAGGACGAATAAAGACTACGAAGACTATTATACTAGGACGCATAAAGCCCACGAACACTATAATACGATGACGCATACAGACTACGAAGACTATTATACGAGGACACATACAGAATACGAAGACTACAATACGAGGACGAATTAAGACTACGAAGACTACAATACGAGGACGCATAAAGAATACGAAGACTATGATACGAGGACGAATAAAGACTGCGAAGACTATAAATCGAGGACGCATAAAGACTACGAAGACTATAATACGAGGCCGAATAAAGACTAGGAAGACTATAATACGAGGACGCATAAAGACCACGAAGACTATAATACGAGGAGGAATAAAGACTACGAAGATTATAATACGAGGACGCATAAAGCCCACGAAGACTATAATACGAGGACGCATAAAGACCACGAAGACTATAATACGAGGAGGAATAAAGACTACGAAGATTATAATACGAGGACGCATAAAGCCCACGAAGACTATAATACGAGGACGAATAAAGACTCCGAAGATTATAATACGAGGGCGCATAAAGACCACGAAGACTATAATACGAGGACGAATAAAGACTCCGAAGATTATAATAAGAGGGCGCATAAAGACCACGAAGACTATAATACGAGGAGGAATAAAGACTACGAAGATTATAATACGAGGACGCATAAAGCCCACGAAGACTATAATACGATGACGCATACAGACTACGAAGACTATAATACGATGACGCATACAGACTACGAAGACTATTATACGAGGACACATACAGAATACGAAGACTACAATACGAGGACGAATTAAGACTACGAAGACTACAATACGAGGACGAATAAAGAATACGAAGACTATGATACGAGGACGAATAAAGACAACGAAGACTATAAATCGAGGACGCATAAAGACTACGAAGACTATAATACGAAGACGCATAAAGACTACGAATACTATAATACGAGGACGCATAAAGACTACGAAGACTATTATACGAGGACGCATAAAGACTACAAAGACTATAATACGAGGACGAATAAAGACCACGAAGATTATCATACGAGGACGCATAAAGCCCACTAAGACTATAATACGAGGACGAATAAAGACTCCGAAGATTATAATACGAGGGCGCATAAACACCACGAAGACTATAATACGAGGACGCATAAAGACTACGAAAACTATGATACGAGGACACATAAGGACTACGAAGACTATAATAAGAGGACGCATAAAGACTACAAAGACTATAATACGAGGACGAATAAAGAACACGAAGACTATAATACGAGGACGCATAAAGACCACAAAGACTGTAATACGAGGACGCATAAAGCCTACGAAGACTATAATACGAGGACGAATAAAGACCACGAAGCTTATCATACGAGGACGCATAAAGCCCACGAACACTATAATACGATGACGCATACAGACTACGAAGACTATTATACGAGGACACATACAGAATACGAAGACTACAATACGAGGACGAATTAAGACTACGAAGACTACAATACGAGGACGAATAAAGACTACGAAGACTATAAATCGAGGACGCATAAAGACTACGAAGACTATAATAAGAGGACGCATAAAGACTACGAAAACTATGATACGAGTACGCATAAGGACTACGAAGACTATAATAAGAGGACGCATAAAGACTACAAAGACTATAATACGAGGACGAATAAAGAACACGAAGACTATAATACGAGGACGCATAAAGACCACGAAGACTATAATACGAGGAGGAATAAAGACTACGAAGATTATAATACGAGGACGCATAAAGACTACGAAGACTATTATACGAGGACGCATAAAGACTACAAAGACTATAATACGAGGACGAATAAAGACCACGAAGACTATAATACGAGGACGCATGCAGACTACGAAGACTATAATACGATGACGCATACAGACTACGAAGACTATAATACGATGACGCATACAGACTACGAAGACTATAATACGATGACGCATACAGACTACGAAGACTATAATACGATGACGCATACAGACTACGAAGACTATAATACGAGGACGCATAAAGACTACGAAGATTATAATACGAGGACGCATAAAGACTACGAAGATTATAATACGAGGACGAATAAAGACTACGAAAATTATAATACGAGGACGCATAAAGACTACGAAGATTATCATACGAGGACGCATAAAGCCCACGAAGACTATAATACGAGGACGAATAAAGACTCCGAAGATTATAATACGAGGGCGCATAAAGACCACGAAGACTATAATACGAGGACGCATAAAGACTACGAAGATAATAATACGAGGACGCATAAAGACTACGAAGACTATAATACGAGGACGAATAAAGACTACGAAGACTATAAATCGAGGCCGCATAAAGACTACGAAGACTATAATACGAGGAGGCATTGAGACTACGAAGACTATACTACGAGGACGCATAAAGACTACGAAGACTACGAAGACTATTATACGAGGACGCATAAAGACTACGAAGATGATACTGCGAGGACGCATAAAGACTACGAAGACTATAATACGAGGATGCATAAAGACTACGAAGACTATAATACGAGGACGCATAAAGACTACGAAGACTATAATACGAGGATGCATAAAGACTACGAAGATGATACTACGAGGACGCATAAAGACTACGAAGACTATAATACGAGGACGCATAAAGACTACGAAGACTATAATACGAGGACGCATAAAGACTACGAAGACTATAATACGAGGACGCATAAAGACTACGAAGACTATAATACGAGGACGCATAAAGACTACGAAGACTATAATACGAGGACGCATAAAGACTACGAAGACTATAATACGAGGACGCATAAAGACTACGAAGACTATAATACGAGGACGCATAAAGACTACGAAGACTATAATACGAGGACGCATAAAGACTACGAAGACTATAATACGAGGACGCATAAAGACTACGAAGACTATAATACGAGGACGCATAAAGACTACGAAGACTATAATACGAGGACGCATAAAGACTACGAAGACTATAATACGAGGACGCATAAAGACTACGAAGACTATAATACGAGGACGCATAAAGACTACGAAGACTATAATACGAGGACGCATAAAGACTACGAAGACTATAATACGAGGACGCATAAAGACTACGAAGACTATAATACGAGGACGCATAAAGACTACGAAGACTATAATACGAGGACGCATAAAGACTACGAAGACTATAATACGAGGACGCATAAAGACTACGAAGACTATAATACGAGGACGCATAAAGACTACGAAGACTATAATACGAGGACGCATAAAGACTACGAAGACTATAATACGAGGACGCATAAAGACTACGAAGACTATAATACGAGGACGCATAAAGACTACGAAGACTATAATACGAGGACGCATAAAGACTACGAAGACTATAATACGAGGACGCATAAAGACTACGAAGACTATAATACGAGGACGCATAAAGACTACGAAGACTATAATACGAGGACGCATAAAGACTACGAAGACTATAATACGAGGACGCATAAAGACTACGAAGACTATAATACGAGGACGCATAAAGACTACGAAGACTATAATACGAGGACGCATAAAGACTACGAAGACTATAATACGAGGACGCATAAAGACTACGAAGACTATAATACGAGGACGCATAAAGACTACGAAGACTATAATACGAGGACGCATAAAGACTACGAAGACTATAATACGAGGACGCATAAAGACTACGAAGACTATAATACGAGGACGCATAAAGACTACGAAGACTATAATACGAGGACGCATAAAGACTACGAAGACTATAATACGAGGACGCATAAAGACTACGAAGACTATAATACGAGGACGCATAAAGACTACGAAGACTATAATACGAGGACGCATAAAGACTACGAAGACTATAATACGAGGACGCATAAAGACTACGAAGACTATAATACGAGGACGCATAAAGACTACGAAGACTATAATACGAGGACGCATAAAGACTACGAAGACTATAATACGAGGACGCATAAAGACTACGAAGACTATAATACGAGGACGCATAAAGACTACGAAGACTATAATACGAGGACGCATAAAGACTACGAAGACTATAATACGAGGACGCATAAAGACTACGAAGACTATAATACGAGGACGCATAAAGACTACGAAGACTATAATACGAGGACGCATAAAGACTACGAAGACTATAATACGAGGACGCATAAAGACTACGAAGACTATAATACGAGGACGCATAAAGACTACGAAGACTATAATACGAGGACGCATAAAGACTACGAAGACTATAATACGAGGACGCATAAAGACTACGAAGACTATAATACGAGGACGCATAAAGACTACGAAGACTATAATACGAGGACGCATAAAGACTACGAAGACTATAATACGAGGACGCATAAAGACTACGAAGACTATAATACGAGGACGCATAAAGACTACGAAGACTATAATACGAGGACGCATAAAGACTACGAAGACTATAATACGAGGACGCATAAAGACTACGAAGACTATAATACGAGGACGCATAAAGACTACGAAGACTATAATACGAGGACGCATAAAGACTACGAAGACTATAATACGAGGACGCATAAAGACTACGAAGACTATAATACGAGGACGCATAAAGACTACGAAGACTATAATACGAGGACGCATAAAGACTACGAAGACTATAATACGAGGACGCATAAAGACTACGAAGACTATAATACGAGGACGCATAAAGACTACGAAGACTATAATACGAGGACGCATAAAGACTACGAAGACTTTAATACGAGGACGCATTAAGACTACAAAGACTATAATACGAGGACGGATAAAAGACTACGATAACTAAACGTGCATAAAGACATGTCATCTTGTCGTTTTAATTGCAGAACATAATCATTTGAAGAACTTTATTTACATGATTCGAAATATGTTTGTATACAAGAAAGCAAAGGATAGGGATAAACGGATGATAATCAGAGCTGTTGTTCCCCAGAGGTCAATATTTGGTCAGTTTTCTTTTTCTATTCTCACCAACATAAAACTATCTGTTGACAACACTCACCCACATGTCATAGCTGGCACACCACGTTAGTGCGCAGATTTGATGAATAATATTGTAATGCCTAGTTTTGAAATGGTAAGTTTTAACTTTGAGAAAAAAATAATCACTTTTGGATAATCAAGGACTTGCCTCATCGGTGTAATGTATGCTCGAGGATCAACGTAAGAGGACATATGAGACATGTATGATTTTTGTCTTTAAAACTGGTTCTATTCACTATATATATACAATTAAAACTAGCCTAAATTGCCTTTTTGTATGATGTAACATACACCTTATACATATTGGATTACCGTTATACCTGCGCCGCAATTTAATGTTCGCCTTTTACGCCTTCCGTAGCGAGGTCGAAGTGATCATTGCAGTGAAATATCATAACAACATAATATGCATAGTAATTAAAGGCGAAGGGCGAAAATAGTGCTGGGAGAACATGTATTTTACCTGCGAAGGGCGAAAGTTTGATTGGGCGCAAATGTCCTTGTATACAGTAACTCCTCTGCCGTTTCAAATAGTTTAGGGAAATATGTCATAAACATCAATACACGAATTGTTGATCTCCCGTGGAGTGATAGTTAATATAGCATAGTACCTAATGTTAGAAACATAAGTATAGTTAATAAAGCATAGTACCTAATGTTAGAAACATAAGGATAGTTAATATAGCATAGTACCTAATGTTAGAAATATAGGGATAGTTAATATAGCATAGTACCTAATGTTAGAAACATAAGGATAGTTAATATAGCATAGTACCTAATGTTAGAAATATAGGGATAGTTAATATAGCATAGTACCTAATGTTAGAAACATAAGGATAGTTAATATAGCATAGTACCTAATGTTAGAAATATAGGGATAGTTAATATAGCATAGTACCTAATGTTAGAAACATAAGGATAGTTAATATAGCATAGTACCTAATGTTAGAAATATAGGGATAGTTAATATAGCATAGTACCTAATGTTAGAAACATAAGGATAGTTAATATAGCATAGTACCTAATGTTAGAAATATAGGGATAGTTAATATAGCATAGTACCTAATGTTAGAAACATAAGGATAGTTAATATAGCATAGTACCTAATGTTAGAAATATAGGGATAGTTAATATAGCATAGTACCTAATGTTAGAAACATAAGGATAGTTAATATAGCATAGTACCTAATGTTAGAAATATAGGGATAGTTAATATAGCATAGTACCTAATGTTAGAAACATAAGGATAGTTAATATAGCATAGTACCTAATGTTAGAAATATAGGGATAGTTAATATAGCATAGTACCTAATGTTAGAAACATAAGGATAGTTAATATAGCATAGTACCTAATGTTAGAAATATAGGGATAGTTAATATAGCATAGTACCTAATGTTAGAAACATAAGGATAGTTAATATAGCATAGTACCTAATGTTAGAAATATAGGAATAGTTAATATAGCATAGTACCTAATGTTAGAAACATAAGGATAGGTAATATAGCATAGTACCTACTGTTAGAAACATAAGGATAGGTAATATAGCATAGTACCTAATGTTATAAACATAAGGATAGTTAATATAGCATAGTACCTAATGTTAGAAATATAGGGATAGTTAATATAGCATAGTGCCTAATGTTAGAAACATAAGGATATTCGTTAAAGTATATTCTAAAAAAGTCTACCATCCCTTTTATATTAATCGAATTCCATCTATATATTGGGATACACTATTGCGATTAATATTTATATATTTTAATTTATATTTTCTGTTGGAATTAGTTCCTAACCTTTGCGGGTCGTATCAAGTCTGTCCCTTAATAGATGGCCCTGCAGAATGACTATATATCCGGTTAGCTCTTGCACGTTTATAGCGGTGTTGTGACAAACTGTATAGCGTCCAGTATTCCAGTCGATAAACAAGTGTTTTAATCCAAGAGTGACACTTATCATCTGTTGTGATCGGTTCGAACCGATCCTTACACTGACACGAGAACTGCTTCTTGTTTGGTTAGTTCTTTATACTTAAATACATACTTCCTATGTATTACGCTCGTGTTTTACTAATAACTCTCTTTTACAAACAATTTGAAAAGTTTAATGCTACACAAAAGTAAATAATTCATGTTAAGTTTGATTTTGAAGTGATCCATTAGCTATGTTTGTAAATACAGAGTTGAATGCATTCTACTTTTTGAATGTATTTGATAGTTCAAAAACGTCTCAATTTACATTGTAAACTCTATATACAAATTGTCTCCATAATACGTTTTGAGGCTTTCATCAAACATGGGAAAAAGAATGAGTGATAAATAAAACTCAGTGAATTTAATCATTCACGGTTATGAATGAAAGTAAATATTTTTTTGAAAGAAAATTAATTTGATATAAAAAAACATATGTCTACCTATCGTTACATGTGTAAGTAAAATTCATTTCATAATTAAAGTATACCGCCTATAAATATATTTAAACTGAAATACATATTTTGCATCTTGCAATGGTGTAGCTCTTAACTACTAATATATATTGAATACTTAATGATAATACCTGGAACAAGCTGTCATTACGGTTACCATGAAAAATACGCACAGCAAAACAAAGTATGATATAAAACGATAAACAGCAAACAACATAACTTTAAAACCTGCTGTTTTCAATAGTAAACCTACCATGACATCTGAATACAGCAAAACCGTGCATTTTATGACGTGAAAAATAGCAATGATAAAAATATAGCTTTGAAACTGTCTAAACATCATTTTTTACACTATAGGCTATTATTTAATATACATATACAGCTTTAATAAAAGTTTGACTATTTCTTTGTTATAAGCGAACAACAAACCAGATGTATTTGGTTGGTGTGGCCGAGGACCTTGTTCGTTTGTATAGATCATAACTTTGTGACATTACGATTTCTTAAGTGTGTAATTTAAAACAGGTTAGTAGTGGTCACAACTCAGGGCGTTACCCGACACTGTTAATGTCTCAAAAAGTATTTATTTTTAAAAGTATATCTGCATGTATTGTTGAACACAAATTCGTTTCAACCACATTAAACGTATAAGAAAAGAACACATGCGGAGTGGAACAGCATGCAATTATTTGTCGACAAAATTGAATGCTTTACACTGCAAAAAAAGCAAAGTAACTTATCATTCATAGATTGTAAATTGTGCTATTACGTTTGACTGTTTAATGTATTCTGTTTATAACTTGTTGCTGTATGCCTCTAGTAACGCTAACATCATGTACGTGTGTATCAATGGTTCAAACACTTTAAACTGTTCAATAAAGAGTTGACGTATTGATATATATACATTTGATTTAGTTATGTACTGGATTTACTTCGCGTGGTTTCAGTTACAGTGTATAGCAATCCTACACTTACAGTTTGACGTCAGATATATCGTATTGCACGATGATATCACTACTTTACACTCTCTTACCCCTGTGGGACCAAGGAGAGAAATGGCCTGTTGTATTCCACGGCATGCTATCGTAAGGGCGACTCACGAGGGACAACATGTAGAGTGTGTATGAATGTTGGGGG